AATAAATAAAGGTCTATATCTACTTACCTATTTATGGATTGCATACTGGGTTTGCCTTCTCACCTGATATTGAATATTTAGTTAATTTTAGGTTTATCGCTATTATAAATAGTGCTACATGGGCATTCTTGTATATATAACATCTTTATATATACATCTTTGTACACTTATTAAATTACTAGAGGCCCAGTGCATGAATTCGTGCACGGGTGGGGTCTGGCTGGCCTGGCCCCAATCAGGGCAAATTGGAGCTGAGCCTGTCGGGAGGAGGAGATGGTGGGAGGTTGGCCTGCTGGCTGACCTGGATCAGGGCCTCCGATCAAGGCTGGGCCGGCTGGGGGAAGGGGCCACGGGCAATTGGCCAGCAGGCCCTACCCCCGATTAGGGTTGGGGCCAGTTGGGGGTGGGCTGGCCATGGGGAGGGGCAGTGGGCTGGCTGGCCCCTTCCCCGAATTGGGTGGGTGAGGGGTGCCAATCGGACTGCAGGAGATTGGCTGGCCAGCCCTGCCCCCTGTTGGGGTGAGGGGTGCGATCAGGGGCAGGCCAGCCGGGGGAGGGGCTGCGGGCTTATCGTGGTAGGGCAGGCTGATGGGGCACGCCTGGCGGCGGGGGACGTTTGGCTGGCAGGCCCAGCTCTTGATCAGGGTGGGAGAGTCCAATCAGAGGCAGGCCAGCCAACCTCACGGCCCCACCCCTGATCCGGCCGGTTCATTGGACACAGTGGGTGTCATAGTGACCGGTTGTTAGGTCGTTATGGCCGTCATGGTAGCTGCCTTTTTATATGTATAGATTTCCTTGGAATATTTTCTTAGAATTGTTAGGATAAAGGCCATGCGCACTTAGGAATTTTAAATTAGATTACCAAACTGTTCATTAAAAAAGTTGAACCAACTGTATTCCCAGGTCAGTTTTCTTTTACTATACTGACACTGAATATTATAATTTAGTTAATTTTTGCCAGTCTTATACACTAAAAGTGGTATTTTTGCAATTTTTCTGTGACTTTTTTGACTGACTGCGTTGCTTTAACTTACGTTACCTTCTGTCAATTTATATTTGTGGAATTTGATTTCTTTTGGACCAAAATAGATCACTTTTCAAACTTTTGAAATTGCTAATTCAGGAATAACCTCCCAAAAACGCAGTTACCTGCATACTTTCCAACAAAAGAGCTAAATGGCGGTAAATATTTTTTTAAGCAGAACTCTGTTTTTACTAGAATAAAACCCTTCACATTCTTCTTTCACAAGTAATCCATTATAAGTAGGACTTAGTTGGGGGAAACATTTCTTTTTGCCTTGAATCTTAAATAAAGGTGTTCTTAACTCCCAGTGTCCGACCTAAAAAGTACATATCAAATCTAAAGATTTTTAAGATCTTAGGATCTAATAAAGGTAAACATTTTTCCATATCAGGATGTAGAACAGACAATGAGTGCAGTGCTGCTGTGGCTTTTTTATTTATGGATACTAACTGGAACTTTCTTTGTTCTCTTTTGGAAATGAGATACAGTTTGAATGTATTTGTAACTTGGAGTCCCATGTTAGTCATCCTTACCTTCTAAAGCATATTTCAAAATTACAGAGGTACACAGGTTTTTCCAGGCAGCTCCTGAAGTTATGTTTTATAATATTAGTCACATTTTAAATTTTCTCTCAGGTCTGCAACCCAATATCATTCACAGTGTTTTCAGCAATGAGTAAAGAAATAAAATGTTAATGTTAGTGTTTATTTAATACAAAAATACATTATAGAATCTCAGCATGTATTTTTATCAAAAATCTTTTTGTGATCACTGCCAATTAAGGAGATACTTATAGCATCCTGCTTTCAGTAACCAAAGATGCATTCTGAGATCTAGAAAGCTTGATGTCGCAGAAGTACAGCCACAATACCATATTGATCACATCCTTTTGTGTATAAAACTTACATCCCCACGGTTAGTAATTTTAAGTTTGTGCCCCCAAATCATTAATTTTGTATTTGTTCATTTCAAAATATTTGTAACCTGGCTGGCATGGCTTTGTGGCTGTCAACCTATGAACCAGGTGGTCATGGCTCACAATCCCCAGTGTGGGGTGTGCAGGAGACAGCCAATCAATAATTCTCTATCATCATTGATGTTTTTCTCTCTCCCCCTCCCTTTCTCTCTGAAATCCATAAAAAATATTTTTGAAAAATATGTGTAAACCTGGTTCTTGTTTTTTATCCCTAATGAACACCATAGACTTTATGTAAAATATGTAGTTAAACTTACGGATACATTTTTAATCCAAGTACAGTGTACATATTTTTCAATTCTCCCTGCCTTCTCTAATGTATTTACTACATAAAACAAAATAATGAGTAAAAATTTAGAAAATAGAGTTTAGATAAAGTGTCTGAGTAGATGGTAAAGGAGCCAGGTCCTTCAGCAACAATCTTTTTATCATTTCAGTGACATATCCAGAGTTCTGTTACCTTTTGTA